GGTACGGGAGGAAACAAAACACCCGCGATCACAACAAAGTCAGAATTTCATGTGAAATATGTTGTTTATTTCAACGAAACTTACATAATTATCAACAGTAAGGTATTTTCTTCTATATATCTGAAAATAACATGTTATTTTTCCCTAAATTTCTACTTATATGTGAAAAACCGTGATTTTCACGGTTGACTGCGGCGTACAAGTTTTACCCCCTTGAAAAACACATTATCGTCGATTTCTAAATTATTGGATAATAGATAAACATTTTTGTAATTGTCACATTTAGAAAATAATGTTTGAAATTATCCTATATTTTTATAAAAATTATAAACCATCGCGTTAATGAGATATCAAAATATCTTTATATTCCTGGTACGGGTTTCAGTCCTGGTCCGGGAACGGGGTACAAGATTTACCTACCACCCCAAAGACGTATATATATGATACGTCTCTGGATGGCAAATACCACTGAATATTATTCAACTCATTTAACTCGAGACTAATTTAACTTCACAATAGTACAGGGTGATACGCTAGGATATTTAACACTCTGTAGTGAAAAGGTAAATTTAATATAGGAAATTTTCGTAAAAAAATACACTAATCGCACTAAAAGCAACACACATAGTCACTCGGAACTCCTCGTGTGACATTAAACCGAGCCGAGTTGTACCGATTGAATCTTGTTGCTATTTTGAACATTACATGAGATCTGAGAAGTGCGTCATGGATCTGTTGAAATAATCACAGGTAAATTACAATACCGACTGGTTAGATAATACTGGTATACATGTACATGTTAAGAAAACGACTGTAATGTACATGTAGTCTACTTCGCTTTGCCTACAATATTGCATCTCGAATTTAAACGAAAGCTGTCGGGGTTTTGTGATCTGTGACCTTAAACTGCAAGTTACGTTCTAATATTATCGATCTATGCTAACAACATTATATAGATCAGGCTTGAATAAATTATTTGTTACTAAAACTATTCTGTTTCAGTTATATTTGTTTAAATTGTGTTTTTAAATGTGCGTGGACGTATCAGGGGATCCCCCTTTCACTTCCACGAATCGCTATGAACCATGGGATACATATATAGGGGAATCCCGTACCGACAGTTCCGGAACTACAATTAGATAAAGGATTTCCAGGGGTTAACCGGCCGTTTTCATTGATAAATCTACATCCTTTCCGCAAATTTAGTAAAAATTAAAAAAAAGGAAACAGTTTTCTGTCAAAATGGTTTGTTGCTGATTGAAAGTTCGGAATAATAGCTTTTATTAGCTAATGTCAATAAATGTTTTAAATATCTCCGACCGTTCTGATCGTTGGCCTGTTACTGATCAGTGGTCTTAAAGGGATCACACAACTAAATCATTTACTATATGTTATTACAATTTTAAGCTTTTGAGCGTTAATATTTTAAGTTCAACACTAGTGACAACTGTCTAGATTCACAGATACATACCTGACAAAAGATTCAAAAGGCATTTTTTGGTGAGTTTGGTGGCATATAAGAGTAAGACCGCTACATATGTCTGCTTTTGACAACCGAAAGTTTACAAGCCATCCCGGTGAAATGGGACGGGAACACCCCCCGACATTTGACCCCATATCAATCCGCCATCACATTTTAAAATCTACTAAAACTACACATTTTTCAAATTCAATATCTATAGATTTCATTCAATGTAAACTAAATTGTCAACAATTACCTATTTAAATTACTAAGAGGCACTGTATTAACCCGGAACAAATTTCAGATAGGGATTACAATCGTGTGTGAGTCCTGAACAGCTTGGCGACCAATCAGAATTTTATAGCCTGTTAATGGTCTGTAATTTAGCGGACTAAACCAGAACCATTTAAAGGTTCTGGTTCTAAATTAATGTTTCATCCTCAACTCATAAATTGTTACCATCCTGATAAGATTTTTTTTTTCAAATTGTCAAGGATGTCGGGTTGTTTAAATTGTTTTTCATGTCATCCCAACTTCAGTTCAGCTTTTATTGTATTTTATTTTGACACTCTTTGCAATTCAATTCAAGATTACAGATGAGTGATACAGTTATTTCTCTACCTTTATTTTGATGCTTGAAGTTCCTTGAAATTTTAAATTCCCAATCTTGAGAATATTTTTTTTTATCCCACAGGTTACATCAGGCATGCATCAAGTTCCAGGAAGAGATGTCGCCCCTCCACGGCCCATAGAACGGTACAGACACCTCCGCGACACAAATACAAGAACAAGATCTTATAAGGGATGGCCGAAATCTGATGGATTAAAATCGGAATTGATTGCAGATGGGTTTTTTTACCTTGGGGAAAAAGACAGAGTTCAATGCGCCTACTGTGGTGGTGTGCTTCACAGTTTTAAAGAAAACGATAATGTACACATCGAACATTATCGCCATTTTCCAAAATGTGAGACTTTTGATAGCACCGACAGTGAAACAGAAGCCCATTTATTTGGACATGTTACAATGACACACCTGAGCGATACGCAGACAGATGGCACATCTAGAGGCGAAGATACTGCCCTATTAGAGAAGATTAAAAAGTTGGATATGTCTTCAAATACAAAATGCCCAAGACATAAATACTATGCCCTATACAAAGATCGACTACGAACATTCAACAACCCAAAGTGGCCAGCAAATCACCCAATGAAAAAAGAAACGTTAGCTAAAGCTGGGCTTTTCTATGCAGGTAATGATATTTCTCGCCAGTCTAATAATAACATTGATTTATATTTAATATATTGTCCCTGCAGGTAGGGCGTAAGAATTGTACCTGTGCTGCCCCCATTGCATGATCGCAAGAGGTGACTAAATTTTGGATCTTATCTTTTCTCTCCTTTCTAAACAACTTTTTTCTTCCTAATGTCTCCCGTGACAATGACTCACTTTTGGCGTTTAGTTGAGCTTTCACCCTTGTGAGGAAGGCTTTGGGTTCTGTCCCCTGGCCGAGACATACCAGAGTCTATAAAAATGGTAGTTTCTACTCCTGCTTATAATTAACACTCAGCAATTTAGTAGTGGGATGACTGGTTCCCTCGTTGTTAGTATAAAGAGACAGGGTGGGGTGTCCTGCTGGATGTCTTCGGCTTTATGTTTCCGTGAGGTAGCACTATAAAGTCCCTAGCTATTGCATGTTTAAGTTGTAGAAAAACATGAAATTGCATTGTTTTTCGGTGTGTTTTCTTTTTACAGAATCAGTGATTATTTCAGTGTTTTTTACAGCCAATAATTCTGAAAAAGTTTTTGTGAAATGTGTAAATTAATACATTTCTGATTTATAACCTGATCTAATATTTCATTTATAATTTCATTTGCTATTTTCTAGGTTTGGGAGACCTTTGTGAGTGCTTCTGCTGTGGAGGACAACTGGAAGAATTTGAGGAAGGTGACGATCCTGTTGAGGAGCACGACAAATACTTCAGTGATATTTGTGTTCTGGCTATCAATAGAAAACAATAAAACATCGACGAGATTGCTGACTTCCTGAACTCAAATATTTACGCAAACAGCAAAATAGATCATGCTTACCAATTCTTGTTATTTTGAAGGGAGACTCCCAACTTCGGACCCTGAAATTGAGCACTATTCATCTTTTCAAAAATTTGTGATCATATCATCTGAAAGAACAGCTCAAAAGATGCCATTTAAAAGTCAAGTGTTATTAGTTCACCTGGTCCGAAGGACAAAGGGGTAACGGGTTGTTTCGCCCCAAATCCCGTTCGCCCTAAGGGTTGTTTCGCCCCAAATCCCGTTCGCCCCAGGTTGTTTCGCCCTAAAAAAATATTTTTTCTTTAAGTTATAAATATCATGTTAAAAGTTAAAAAACTTATCTTTCTCTTGAATCAAGATATAATTACGTGCCGGAAGGTGAAGAACAAACCTGTATATTCATCACCGAATCCTTCAACGGACATACTAATATCCGGAATAAACTGTATATTATCGTTTTCATTTCTTTACCTTAATTAAGTAATGTTGTTCTTTATAAAATGCACCTGTATATATTTTAACGTTAAAAATATTTAAAACATGATATAAACAATTAAAAAGCACCCTGTCACGTCAGCCATTTTATATAAAACAAATTTCTCTTAGTACATAGATACGTATACGAAATGGACATAGGTTAGGTGCAAATTGCGTATAAGAATGAAAAGAAATTAATACTTTAATTATATATATCTATAATATATAGATAAGATATGGATATTATGATATAATGAAACTAAATTAATTTCTCTAAGTACAATACTTATAATATATAGATATGGACATACAATGAAACTAAATTAATTTCTCTAAGTACATAGATACGTATACGAAATGGACATAGATTAGTTACAAATTGCGTATATAGACTGAAACTACATACGTATATTAATTGCGTATAAGGATGAAAAAAAAAAAACTTTCTCTAGAGAAGTATACGAAATGTAAATAATTCCCCAAGTACATAGATACGTATTTTAATTGTTAAGCAGATGTGTACATTTGAATTATGAAATAAACGTTGGCAATTTACTTAGGGAATTATCAAAATACATTAAATATACTTGTATAATAATGTACTTGTCAGTCTGGCAGGTTCTATGCTGCCAGGTTCTATGCTGCCAACAGTCACACACATCACTTCAGATACCATGCTGTCTGCGTCTAACCACGGAGTCGCACAAAATGCACAAATCATCCATAACGTAAATTACGTTATGGATGATTTGTGCATTTTGTAACTTGTCATAAATAGAGCATTTCTCAGTACTGTGTTATAATTCAACATTACTAATGTTGAATTATAACACAGTATTGAAAAATGCTCTATTTATGACAAGTTACCTACTCAAAATTATCTACTCAAATATGCATATTAATTTTTATTGGTCGGTACTATCACGGACTTAAATCTAATTCCGTGGTACTATCAAAACTTCTCAAAATGGACATAATCTCCAATTAGCAAAAAACAACACGGACGTGTGCAGAAATCAAGTAAAGAAAACAGCGTCACACGTCGACGAGTATGCGTACAGCCATACACTAAACTAATTTAAATGTGTTAACATGGAAAATAATATTGTTGTATACCCCGCAATTTTTAAAATTACACCATTTTTGTTTCATTTCACTATTCTTACTTATTTCTAAAATTAAATTCAATATATGTTATAATGTGTGTCGGCATTAAGAAAATAACGTAATCCGTTTTTTTGCTTTACAATGTACATAAAACAACAGAAACACATTTTTTTTTTAAATAAAACTGATTTTGATGATATGAAAGACTAAGAAGACTTAATTTGTGACTTAAAACAAATAAAAATGAAAAGAAAATACCAAACAATGTTTCGCCCTAAAAAAAATGTTTTAGGGCGAAACAACCTGGCGCGAAACAACCTAGGGCGAACAGGATTTGGGGCGAAACAACCCGGAACCGGACAAAGGTGAGCTTATTACATACCACAGCGTCCGTCGTCCGTCAACTTTACACTTCTAGTCGTGAACCACTGAGCAGATTTTAACAAAATTTGGTGTGGAGCATCCTTGGGTGAAGAAGAACCAATTTTGTATAAATGGTGGGTCTGGCCCCCCAGGGGCCTGAGGGGCGGGCCCCAATAGGGGAAATATAGCAAATTCTTTAAAATCTTTCATCTTCTGTTGGAATGAAAGGATTTGTTCCATATTTGGTCTGAAGCATCCTTGGGTGAAAGGGAACCAATTTTGTATAAACCGTGGATCTGGCCCCCCAGGGGCCTGAGGGGCAGGGCCCAATAGGGGAAACATAGCAAATTATTCTTTAAAATCCTTCTTCTTCTGTAGGAATGAAAGGATTTGGTCCATATTTGGTCTGAAGCATTCTTGGGTGAAACGGAACCAATTTTGTATACCCCGTGGATCTGGCCCCCCAGGTGACTGAGTGGCGGGGCCCAATAGGGGAAACATAGCAAATTATTCTTTAAAATCCTTCTTCTTCTGTAGAAATGAAAGGATTTGGTCCATATTTGGTGTGGAGCATCCTATGGTAAAGGGGAACCAATTTTGTATAAACCATGGGTCTGGCTCGCCAGGGGGATGAGGGGCTGGGCCCAATAGGGGAAACGTAGCAAATGATTCTTTAAAATCCTTATTCTTCTGTAGGATTGAATGGATTTGGTCCATATTTGGTGTGGAACATCCTTGAGTAAAGGGGAACCAATTTTATATATTTCTGAAATTTCATATGTACTTACAGCACCTACCATTGAGCACTATATCTTTACTTCATACCAATTACTTTTAATTATATTCAGGTGAGCAATACAAGCCCTCTGGGCCTCTTGCTTTTTACCTTGGAGTATTGTGTACATTTATATATATGCTTTTAGGAGTATTATGTTGTTGTGAGACTTTAATAACATTTGCTATTGCAACTTCATCAATCTCTATTTGTAACTTCATCAATCTCTATTTGTAACTTCATCAATCTCTATTGTGACATCATCCATTTCACTTGTCCACACTTAATGTGCCATTCAAAGAACTGTTCGAAATAACTTAATAAAGTGTAACTACTCTATCAAAATGTAAATATATATAATGAATATTTTAGCAAATATTGTTATGGTCCTATAACACTCATTTCTGTTGCTGACAAACTTACCTGCTGGGCTTTATCAAGTTTGTCATCAATTTGTTAAAACATTCACTGCTTAAACAACAAGTCTATCAGTGATAGGAAAAAAATATATTCAGTTTACTTTATTATTATACATTTTTTCTTAATTACATGTTATCAAGCACTAAATAATATTATGTAAGACAAATTTCCTGTAAGTAGGCCAGCCTTAAAAATCTACTTTGGATTCTGGATAGGAGCCACTATTTACCTGTTGGTCGAAATGGGTTTTACAAGTAATAATCATATCACATGAATTATTATTGTGAAGCAGGAAAGAGACTAGTGTACATGTGCCTCCATTGGAGATCGAACACACCGAACTTTCTATTCGAATGCTCTACCACTGAGCTAAAGGGAAATTCCCTCTAGCTCGAAGCTAGAAGGTGACCGTAATCCTATGCAGATTAAAACCTGCCATACTACTCCCCCTTTATAAATGTGTTTGCCCTCGAACACCACAACCCAGGTTCAAACTCCCTGTCACCACAGGGAGGGCCACGGACACCATTTGTAACAGGAAAGAGAGTCATGTGCTTCCACTTGGATTGAACCTGCGACCCCTGACTTCTTAGTCCGGCACTATACCACTGAGCTAAAAGGAAATTCCATCTATATATATCTAGCGCAAAGCTAGAAGGTGACCATAATCCTATGTATAATTACAATTTGCAACAATTGCAAGAAACAAATTGGAAAAAAAAAAGAAACAGTTTTGTTGAAAGAAACCTGTATAATATGTATATTTTTTCATGTGGAAAAAAGGACTTGAAAATATGCCATTGAAAGTTAAGTCCTGGCTTACGGTCTAAATGACTTCAAAAATATGACTGCCTTTTTTATCATGAAAATAACAATATTTTGATTACGTAAAATCGTTAGCATATTTTAATATGTATCAATTATAGCTAATCCCATACTCAAATGATAAACAGGATATTCCTGATGCAGTCTTGGATTGGACACAATAGGTTTGAACCCTTTCGACACTGTAAACCATAATGGACTTATCCAGAACATTTCAAAAAGTACATTTTCTTTACAAAAGAATGTGTCACATTTCATTTAAAAAGAAGAAAATCCTTGAGGAAAGTGCAATTTTTTAAATTGCATTTCAAGTATCAAAACCATATGTACTAGGAAATGAATGCAGCTTGTTGATTCTGTAGTCACTACAGACATGTATGTCCCTTTTACCAATATAGATTGATACGTGTATGTTGAGTATTTGTTGACAATTGCAATATAGTATGTAAATTGAAAACAAAATATGCTTTCTGCAGTTTTTATAGTGTTTGCATTAATATTGTTGATTTTTTTTTTAAATTTTCTTTCTTTTTTGAGAAAAGCTAACACATTGATCTATATTGTATAATACACAAATATTGAGAGACAGTATTATCTTTAAGTTATTTCTTCATCGAATGTGATTGTCTGAGCTTCAAAAAATCAAAACACACATTATTTTACATGTTTGCCTGTAAAAACCACAAACAGAACAGCACCAAAACGTAATTTTGTCTGTAAAAACCACAAACAAAACGACACCAAAACGTAAATGGGACCTTAACAACAGGGTATACAAAGAAATCATGATGTCTCGGAAATTGGATATGACTCCAAGGTTCCCGGATAGTAATGGTTCCTGCACCAGATTTGGGACCAGTCATGGTGTTTCCTAACCAACCATTGGAAGTACTTGTTGGCTACCAACAATTAATACTTTTAGTTGCAAATTTAATTCTCCAATGATTCACAGAATGGTCTGCTGTTGTATTCTGTTTTTAAGTATTTATAGAACCTTTCTCCACCTCGTTGGTGTAGCAGAGAAATCAAATAATTGAATATATGGTAATTTGGAATTGTAAATGGAACGCCAAAGTAACATATTTAAATAATTGCACCATCTTCAAATAATTGAACATAGGTACAATTCAATTGGAGATGGGTACAATTCAATTGGAGATGGGTACAATTCAATTGGAGATGGGTACAATTCAATTGAAGATAGGTACAGTTCAATTGCAGATAGGTTTTATTTGTCATATTGGAACCTATCTTTAATTGAATTGTACCCATCATCAATAGGTTCAATTCAATCCATATGAGTTATACGATTTGATTTGTTATTTAAATCGACACAGATATTGAAACGCATAGGCGTGTATCGATTATCTCCCCTTAGTAAAAAGAAAATATGTTGTAGGCCTACATCTACTCCAACAATGTTAGAGGTTTTACACGGCGAAAAACTTTTGACAGGCGCCGCGTAACAGGTCGCAGTCGGCAAAATCATATCCGATTGAAAAAAAGCCGACCAGCGGCCTCTCATGTTATGGGAGTAGACCTACATCTTGTGGTTATATTAGTAACTATTCCCCTTTGAAGTTGAACATTCCTGTGTTGAACTGTTTTCTTGTCTGTATATATATGCGTATGTGCGTTTGTTTCTATGCTATGATCGATAATACATAATTTGCGATTTCTAATGAATTTTTGATTGTTTTGAACGTATGCAGAACAAGTTCATTCTAAAAAATCAAACAGAAAAAGACCTCAAAACACCTTTACGATTGCTTTCAGGTATAAAATAGCTAATTTTATGTATCCCTGTATGCAAAATGTTCTATCGTCTGTGTTGTGTTATGTTGCTAGAAAGCAGTAACATATATCGCTGCAGTTAAGGGGGAGTAAATCGTTAACAAACGGCAAGATAACATATCCAAAACAGCAAACACAAATATTACATTGTTTACTACATTTTTCAAAACTTCCAATCAATTTGACAATACCATCACACTGGTACTGTCAGATTTAGATTATTCATACCAAACTACATACATTGTACCGGAATGACCGGTACGTACCCTACAGCCGTTCATTTATTAGCCATTTCGGGCAGGTGAACTTCTGCTGAGGCATCCGTCGTCTGTCCCACTGCCCGTCCGTCAACATTTCCTTTAACACGTATCAGTGGCTTTTAAATAAATTTGGCCTGGTCAAAGGGGACTCAATTTTGAGTCCCATGTTGACAGATGGACTGGCCAAAATGTGAAGGTAAATATTTAAAATCCTTCTTCTGTACCTGGAGGAATTTTATACAAATTTGATCCACATATTTTGTATAAACAGAAAGTGTGGCCCCTGGTGCCAGAGGGATGGAGAACATAGTAATAAATGTTTAAAATCCTTCTCCTTAAGTATGGTTAGATGGATTTTGAACAAATTTTGTATAGAGCATCTTTGGCCAAAGGGGTCCCAATTTTGTACAAATGGGTGTGTGTGTGGTAGAGTGGTTGGTTCCAAAAGGGGATATATGGAGATTAATCTGTCCAATTATCAGGTAATGGTGATGTAATAAGAAGCAATATTCAGAGAGGAAACCGGAGTGCACGGAGAGAAAAACCTACTTGATCGGGCTGGTGACCTGTGATCTCTACACGTCCGATCGGGAAATAAAAGCCCGTTCGTCTTGGTGAAACTCAAGTGTGTGCTTTCCTCTGCACCATCCGACCAACTTTTTCAAGCCATATCACATTTTTAGGTCACCTGAGACAAAGTCTCAAGTGACCTATTGCGATCGCCTTTTGTCCGTCGTCGTCCGTCGTCCGTCGTCCGTCCGTAAACAATTTACATTTTCGACTTCTTCTCCAAAACCCCTGAACCAATTTCAATGAAATTTTGCAGGGACCTTCCATGGACAAAGGTCAACAAAAATAGT